TCTGTGCGTGCGGTTGCATGGCCATTAGTTAGTTTGTGGGAAAGTGAAAATGTGCACCAAGGTTTTAAGCAAGCAAACACCTGACATGCAAGGCTGTAATCAAATATAGCCGTGAACAGGTAAGGCTGTCTCATTCGTGAATTTACTCTATAATCCAGTATTCCCTTCTTGAATTTAAATGACTGACAACAAATGTGTTGATCCCTCAGTCAGTTCCCTGTTTGACTTGCTGAACCCTGTTCTGCCTAACTGCTGTGTTTTAATGTTCTCATGTTTTTTTCTATTTTATTTGCCTAATATAAAGATGAAAATCTATGCTAAAGCTTATCCCAGCAATACCTGAACTCTTGAAATAACCTTTGGGAATGTGATCATTCTTCAGGAAATAAAGTAACAAGGATTTACCCTAAATCAGTGAGCTTGTATTTAACTTGTCAGTCTGACCAAATATTTAGACTTCTTTTAAACCATTTTGCAACTCTTTTGCAAAAAAATGAATACTTTAAGGTACTACACCAGACTGCATACTGAAGACAGCTAATTTTTTTATGACAGCACAAAAATCACATTCATGTCATGCTCAATAAAGTGTGAGCATTGAAAACTGTTTCCAAGAGAAGAAAAACAACAACTTGTACAGGATAAAATGATCAGGGACCTTAAGTATGAATGCAATGGATATTCCTTGCCCTGTGTGTTACCAGTACAGAACTACTGTTGGCTCTGCAGTGGTAAAACAGATATCAAGGTATCATTTCCTGGAAACATTGTAATGACGGAGGAGACATCACACTGAAGTAAGAGTATTACATCATTTGAAAGTACCTAGTTTTTAAAGGTTTACAAACGGAAGTACTTTCTACAACTAATAATCCATCAAATGTGTGCTGCATTTGTTTTATCATGGCAAAGATTATACAGTCTCCAAAAGAACTGAATCATCTCTACATTGTCAGGAAATGTGATGGTAAATTGTTGCAAAGAAATGACCAGGACAGCACAGAAAGACACAATAGTCTGCAGGCCACACGTTGAAAGGTTAACTGCTCCTGAGTCACCAATCTGGATAGAGGTGGCATGTTAGCCGGCCTGTTAATCCCATTTCACAAACCCTGCGCATTGTTACCTGCTCCGTGCCTCTGAGATTACACAAATTCATGAGTTACGTTAATCTACCAAATGTCACCTCTGGGTCCATGTACTCTGGCAAAGAACTACCCACACGTGCATTAGAGCGCAACTTATGTGCAATGTTGAATGTGTTATATTTCTAAAAGTATACTGATGCAATTTTGCACAGTGTTTTCACCAGACTGTAAACTCTTGCTCTTTAGTGTTTTGCAGTGGATCTTGTGGATCTGTGATGTGTATCTAGACTTAATGGGTACCCACATAAAGTAAATCCATTTTAAATTTGACTACTACTAGTTGTATGTTTCAAACAATACCTACATACTCTGTATTTTTTGCAACAAATGCAGAGAAAGACTTGCTTTTTGTATGTCATATGATTATAAATTGAGTCATCTGGGTTCAAATTTGTTTCACAGACGAATTTAACAATCTTCAGACATCAATTGGGGCATTACTACCTGATGATGTGGATGTGACACAATTTTTTGGGCGTTTTAGAGGTGGACAACTTGCTTAATTAAAAAATAACCAACTGTGAAATAATGAGTGATTGAATCCCTTAATTACAGGGAAGTAACGTTATAATTGCATCATTACATATATATTAAAAAGAAAGCACATCTTATCAATGTAACTGTAAGTACCCTTTAGTCCACCAGCCACCAAACAAGAAGGTTTGCCTATACACACCATGCTCACTGGTTTAGGTTAGTTAGCCATGTTGGTACTCAACAGTTGGCTAGCTAACATACTAACCCACTAAATAATATTTAAACATCAAACTTTATCAACCAGTTTATGTCAAGTACCGACACAACCCTAGAAAGGCTCTTCTTTCTACCAACAGATCCGTTAAACATCACACTGACCGCACACTGTGACGAGCTGATAATGTTAGCTATGTAGCAGGGAGGATTCATGTCACTGAACACTGATGACTGACACATACTCTGCGGCAAAGACATCAAGCAAAGCGACGTGACGGACAGTAAAATCATCATGAAACGTGGTTCAGCTATTGAAACGGCTGTCACCTGTCTGACGTGACGTTAGTAAGGTGAATGGAGGTGTCGGGCTTAGCTTACCAGCACAGGAGAGCTACAATGAGGCACACCAACAAAACGCGCAGCCTCTTCATTATCTTCCCGCGGGGACCAACATCCTCGCTCTTTGGGGGGGTTTCTAATCTCTCTCGGCTACACAATAAACCGAAGACAAGCCTTTTAGTTGACTGAGGGCTTGTGTTAATAACAAAGGAACAAACGACTGTCCTCCTGTAGCTAAAACCTACACTTGAGATGTGCTAATTTTCATTGTGCGGACCAGTAGTCCGCCTCTTTTTCGGCTTTAGCTGCTACTGCTGTTGTCGAGTAGCTGGCTCTCGGTATGTTCAACCCCTGCTTCACGTCTGACCAATCAAATCAGAGCTGTGGATCCATCGACCAATCATAGGCGACGTAGCAACACCGTATTTGGCAAAGCCCCACCCCCTCTGGTCGGGATGAGTTGGTGAATGTGGAGCAGGACGCGTCACCTATTTCTTGATAAGCAAACCACTAAAGCACGCAATATGTGAAGTTATTGCTCAACCGTGTGATGCCAAACGTTTCGATATAAATGACTAACATTCATATCCTTGTTTTCTGTAAAGGAAATACACGTGGAAGGTCAAAATCACTTAATGAGGTGTGTAGTGAGGAATGTGAACATCGTGTACTTTGTTCCCTCATTGCCACAACACCTTCATATTGTATAAAACTGTATATTTAAAAACACCCTGAAACGGTTTATTAAAAACATCCATGTGTTATTAAAACTGAAAGGAGTGTAGCTCAATTTCTAATGTTATATCTTTATCACAAAATTATTATATCAGAAATATCTGTGTCATTTTCATCATTTTCATGTTTCATTTAAACTTTTAGTAGGGTTTCACAAATCATCAAAATCAATGGGTAATTAAAGTGGTGTAATTGTTGACAGGTGAAGTGAACAACTTTGATAATTTTGTTCCAATGCATTGCTCTGCTGGGAAACCTTTGCTTCTGGCATTCATGTAAATAGAATAGAACATAATAAATCACAAAATTGTCTTCGGCTCACCAACACTGAAGGTACACAGCACTAACAAGTCAACAGCACCATACAAACAGACAACATTTCATAAACACAATAAAAACACATTAAAGCAGGTAAGATAAAACAAATAAGCAGTAGAGCTGTTCAAGTCAATATCTGTGGATTGGTTAAGTTAAGAGTTAAGAATGCTGATGGCATTTGGAATAAAGGACTTTTTAAAAACACTTTGGCCAGAGGGACGCTGTAGTGCCTCCCAGATTTCAGAAGCTTAAACTGATTGGAAAGAGGATGGGAGCTATCTGCCAGGATTCTCCGAGCCGTCCTCCTTGTCCTGTCAATGTAAAGGTGGGTCAGAAGAACACCTGACATGTTCCACCCACTCAAACACGTTGCAGACCAAGTACCCCCCCTCCCCAATGACAGTGGCTCCCCAGCAGGATAATGCACCATGCCACACTGCAAAAACAGTTTAGAAATGTCCTGTGGAGCGTGACAAAAAGCTCAAGGTGTCGACCTGGCTTCTAAATTTCCCAGGTCCCAATCTGCTCAAGGATTCTTGTGATGTGCCAGTACCCCAGATGTACCCCTAATCCAAGGTGGGGCCACAGATGCTCATTCAGACTGGGATCTGGGGAATTTGGAGGCCAGGTTGACACAATGAGGTCTTTGTCACATTCCTTGGGTCATTCCTGAGCCATGTTTGCAGTGTGGCATGTTGCATTATCCTGCTGGGGGGCCACTGCCATTGGGGAGTACTGGTGCCATGAGGGGGGGTACTTGGTCTGCAACGGTGTTTGAGTGGGTGGAACATGTAAGGTGGTATCCAGTTATTCACTTTACCTGTCAGTGCTTTGAATGTTCTGGTTGATCAGTGTATAAACACATACCCATCCTCATACTCATAAATGACTAAATACTTATTTATGTATTGCATATGAATATGTAAATAAGTATTTATTCATTTATGGGTATGTGGGTGTACACACACATATATATTGGTACGCATATTCATTTGTTCACTTATTTAAATATTAAAAAGATAGCAGGAGAAGTTGATGAAGAAGTATGTGTAATATTGATATTTATATTTATTAATATTCATCATACATTTGGACAGGTTTATACTTGCTAGTCATGGATAACTGGTCTTTTATATTATATGCAAATTTAAGTTTTGCAAGATAGATATTTGGTATTTACTGTTACGCTACATAAGGAAGCTGTCTGTTTCATTTCACTCAATGGCTTATGGCGAAATGGTGGGATTTAATGACTTTATACTTCCTCCCACTCCTTTTCGATTGTGTAAATCAAAGTAACTATACATTGGCAATTGCTTTTCATTATGAGTTTTTATTATTTGTAAATACTGCTTTCTTTCTGTCTGCTTGCTTGTTTGTAAGCTCATGTCTTTTTTTACACCTTCAAAATAAATATCAAATATCATAAATGTTGTCAGTCCTCTTGCTTCTCTTTAAATGTGAACTTCTATTGGTAAATTTGACTTTTGTTATTAAAATCAAAGACATTTGCTGCAAAATATCTTCTGTTTGCGCCACATGGAAAATAACTACACATCCCAGAGTGCAATGCGCGAAGAACCCTAAAAAAATGTGCCTGTATTTTATATAGTAGCTAATTAAAATCGAACGATCACTACAAAACAAATAAACTGTATCCTAAAAAATACTTGTTTAATCCGACATAATTTTAAGTAAAAATGAAAAAATGTTTTGTGTTTTTAAACAGGCGGGGTCCTGAGCTGTCGACAGTCGTCAGTAGTTAGTGTGAGAACATTTCAACAGAAGTGAAGTTTGGGCGAACAGAACTAGCCTCCCCGCCGCACACTTTCTAACACAGTAGCTAGTAACTGTACCGCCATTTTGGCTCTTTTGGACTTTAAGTTTGACCATGGAGGTAGTCCGGGTGATTCTGAGTGTCTTGTCCGTGTTTGTTGCTCTGGTCTCGGAGAGGCTTGTGGTGGTGGCTGCCTTCTCTCAGTCTTTAGACAGCGACTTCACGTTCACACTACCCGCCGGTCGCAAGGAGTGTTTCTACCAGACCATGAAGAAAGATGCGTCCCTGGAGATTGAATATCAGGTAAAACACACTCATATAAAGGGGATAATCCTGATAAAACCCTAACAGAGCGAACCTAAACTACTTCTCTCTTTCTGCAGTCTGCAACATCACTGATAACCCCTCAGCGAGAGTAAACACTGACCTGACATTACACTTGTTGCTGATCCTTTTTTGTGGTTACTGTTCATATTTACATCACAGTGCATTCTCATCTACAGATAACAATAATTCAGACCACACTGGTTTATGCTGAATCACATTTTCCTCTGAGTAAGACACCCAGCAGGTTATGTGGCTCCCACCTCTATTTCCATATTGTTGGGAACCTGTTGAGCCGGTCAGTGTGCAGCTTGCAGCACTGAATCAACCTCTGAGCCTCACTCTCTGCTGTCTGTAAAGGTTAGGCGATGTCAGGGAGGTGTCTTTTGTTGCTGTCTGTGGGACACTTCCCAAGCATTTGTATATCTGATGTAGTGTCTACCCTGGAGGACAAGGCATCATCGCTTCCAGTGGAGCATGAGGAAGACCTTGAGACTAATGTTTAATTAGTCTGGAGAAGATGTCAACCCACACAAACTTGCATATTTTCTCGCAAACGTTTTCTCTAACTTCTCACGTGTGAATGTCCTCCAATGTCCACAGGTATTGGATGGAGCAGGTCTAGATGTAGACTTCTTCATCTCCTCCCCGTCTGGCCAAGTGCTGTTCAGTGACTACCGCAAGTCAGATGGAGTGCACACGTAAGTCACACAGGTGATCGAGGGGTGCACACATTACCGACACAGACACACACGCACACTCTTAACTGCCTGTGCGTTCCTCCAGAGTTGAGACCGAGGACGGAGACTACATGTTCTGCTTCGACAACACGTTCAGCTCCGTCTCCGAGAAGCTCATCTTCTTCGAGTTGATCCTGGACAACATGGACACGGATGAAGACCCAGACGACTGGAAGGAGTATGTCCATGGAGTGGACACTCTGGACATGAGGCTGGAAGACATTATGGTAACGGGGCAGCCAAATTTGACATGCAACACATTCCAGAGTTGTTGTGTAATAGGTTTGTTTGTGTGGGAACTAAGTTAAGTCGTTTTGTTAGGTGTTTTAGACTTTGTCCCTCTTCTCTGCCGTTGAGATATTTGTCACTGTGCCACCTGTGCTCGCAGGATGACATGGAGGGTGAAAAGCGACCCAACAGACTGCCAACCATATAGTAGTACTGAGAGGCGCTGACACAGTGTGTTTTCTCGATGCACAGCAGAGCAAAGTAAAAGTGTGTTATCTCAGTGACATGTTGAAGATGTGCTGGTCTCAAACTAAAGTAAGAGCCTGTCACCTGTAGCTATTTTTAGCTCACTGACACTGTCTCTATTTGTATTTCCTTTCCTGCAATATTTCTAACTGCTCACTATGTTTTAGGCAATGTAGTGCACAGCTCACGCCACCAGAGGTCAGTCTTTAGTGGTGGAGCTGGCAGCTGAGTTGAGAAAGATGGCGACTGCGGGTGGTGAGGATAACGTTACAGGACTGGGAAAAAAGCTAAATTCCTCTGCCCATGTTCTGGAGTATTGCCACGTGTAACTTTATCTTGACATGACGTCCTCCAACTACAAAAGCAGTTATAAGCCACGTGATTTTATCCAACACATCTATTTTGTTCAGCCCATTATTGTGTCTGTACCCACTGCAGCAACATGTTTCACTGGGTCCTCCTATCTGTTCGTTATTTTGTGGGGCGTAAGTATTTAAACCCAGCAAGACTTGTTGAAGTAGGCGACTTGCGTATTAGAAACACAGCACTGTAGCACAGACAATGACATACATGATACAATTAGTGCGTTTACGTGACATTAGAGAAAATCGATTTAATTGTGTCAGTCCAGGTAAAACCGGACTTTTAAAATACATGTAAACATGTTGGTCGGACTGAAATTGTACTAAATCAGATTTCTAAAACACGCCCAGATAGTGCGATTAGGAGTCGAATTACTCGTGTGTAAATTCAGTCAGTCAGACCAAAAGTGGCCGAGGCGCTCTGCACATGCTCCACAGTTTCCTCCTCTGGCTTTGACCTGGAAGTCTGATAGCATTAAATGTGTAACAGAAGAAGAAGCCAGTAGCAACGTGGTGAAATCTACATCCAGAGCTGTGCTTTTTCGGACGTACAAGGAGACAGTTTATGCTGTGTCAGCTGAAAGACCTAAATATTTTGAAATAAATGGATGATGAAAACACAGAATGGCGACCTGTTAAGAAAAAAAAAGAGGTGGAACAGTTGGACGACACTCGATTGTTAAGGTCCAATAGTAACAAGCTGAAAGGGGGCATATCGCCACCTATCGTAGAGGAGTCGGACATACTTCAGTTAACAAATCGATTCCCCTCCCGTGCTTGTATTCTGGGACAAGGACAGTAGTCCACTAACTGTACATGTAAATATACTCCGTGACTTCTATCACCAGCAGCTCAGCTTTTACGTTTTGTTTTTTGTTTTGTTTTGTTTTTTTGAAAAATTATATACTGCCCAAGCCTACCAGTCCATATCTGGTTGATGAGACATGGTTATACTGAAGGATAATACTGCTAATGAAACACACGCATTTCCTATAATTTCTTGACAGTAAAAGCATCCCACAGGTTCGCAAATGGAAAGCTTTCAATGTAAAGCAGCAATAGAGGAAATGTTGGCTTTGCATTAGCAGTAAATTAACACAGCTTTAAGTGATAAGTATACAATAAAACGTGCTTGATATCTTCAAGTACAAACATGAACATTAGAGTGAAAGTGTAGGGAGCTGCAGGGAGACTTTCAAAAGTACTGAGAGCCAAACGCACAAAAACTTTATAAGAACAGCTGTCTCTAGTCTGCAGCACAGACATGCAGGAGTCTAACCACTGAGGACACATCTCAGGGGAGAGGACCGTCACGGGTTGGCATGGAAACGCATGTTGGCACAGCGCAGCTAAAAACGGACCAACCCGTGGAAAAACCCTTGTACATGCAAAGTCACAGGGAGAGTGTTACAAGAATAGAAAATGCCATGAACCCTCACCTATTGGCTGAAGGCAGCCAACTGTTTCATCTTGCACCACAATGGCCTGCACCGCCCCTTCACCGGGAACTGTCTTCATTTGTGTCAGAGGTCACATAGGCCTCGCTTAAAAAGACAGGAAATGTGTGTTTCAGCTGTGCAGGAAGTTTTTTTTTTTTTTTTTTCCATAGAAGAAGGAACACACCTGACTGAGCTGCTTTGCTTACAGACTCAAAGCTGTGTGTGATCACTCTGCTTTGTGAGTGTGTGCATTTAGTTTGTTCAGTCTGACCTGTGTGTGTCTTCTCCTCCAGGACACCATCAACAACGTGAAGGCTCGGCTGGGCAAGAGCGTGCACATCCAGACGGTGCTGCGGGCGTTCGAGGCTCGCGACAGAAACATCCAGGAGAGTAACTTTGACAGGGTGAACTTTTGGTCTGTCATAAATCTCATTGTTATGATGTTGGTATCGGCGGTTCAGGTCTACCTGGTCCGCTCGCTGTTTGAAGATAAAAAAATCCGCACATAACACCACCCCAAACGGAGGGACAGAGGGAGAGAAACTAACGCACTTGCCCTCGGATACCTTTGGTATTTTTTTCAGCAGATCTCCTGGCTTGTGACGTTTAAAACAAGATGTCATCTGTACACACGCACACGCACACACACACACAAACAGACATTTTGACATTCTTAATGACAGTGTCACCTCTGTTGGTGCTCTGGTCCTCAGTCAACTGGAGTTTGTGGGACAGTGGGAGTCCCTGATTTGGAACATGAACTTATAACTGTCTGCCCCTCAACTTTGCAAACTTTGCTACAGAACAAAAGTCTCTTAGTCTCTCTTTAAAACTTGTATGTTGTTTTATAGTCCTCCCTAGTGGCTGTGATTCTTCGCAGAAAGTGACATAACATGCATATTTACGATGTGACTATTTTTCTAACGTTAAAAGGCAGATTGCAAAGATTGCAAAAACAAAATGTCCTCTTTTCTTTGGACATGTTTTTATTTGAGATAAACTAGATGAAGAAATAGTATGTTGTCTGAAGAATTTGATTTATTTCTGCCAAATAAGAGTGGGAAGTGCAATCAGTCTGTCATCAAGTCTTCCCCCATATGGTCGTACCTTTGTGTTACTAAGACGCCTTCGTGGTTTGTGTTTAGCTGCCAGCCTTTTGCCAGTCAGTGAGGCCTTTGAATATTTCCTCCATTGCTGTTGACATTGATGTTGTTTTTAGAAATTTAGTCACACTTTCCCTTTCATGCCAACACAAAAAAGTCAGGTGTCTAGGTAGGACCACGCTGCTAATCTTTGGCACTCATGGGGCCATGGAGTAGGAGTAAAGGAAATGGGTCATCTCCAAATCTCTTAATGACTACTGCTCTACTTTCCTCTGCCATGACTTGTGGCCTAAATGGCAGCTGCCCTCCTCTGTGAAGCCTCACTGCTGCTGGCGGGTGTCTTTTTACAGCCACCTACTGTGTGAAGATGTTGGGCCTGCCTGTCTCTGGTGTCTATTTCTATCTTACCGTCACCTGGAAGGTCATTACCACTACTACCTGGGTGCACTGCTGAGTTTAATATGCACGAGCCACTCGCTGCCTTGGCTACGTCAGCGTTCTTTTTAAATGCGTTTGTATTTCGTTGGGTATTCACGTTTTATCAGCCATCGTTACAAACTAACATCTGATCGTTGCACTGTCTCTGATGCCACAGAACCTATATTTTTGTCTTCATATTCGTAGAGCACAATTAAACACATTGGGCCCCTGAGTGTTTTTAATCGGGGACCATCTTAAACGGGTCCACAGCTTGTTCTGATATGAGAGTTAAGGAACTGCTCAAGAGGTTTTTTTTGTCTCATTGGTTGCTTATTTGGTATTAAGACAGTACCGTGGCTTGTGAACGGATTACTTTTATTGTTGTTACTGGGCTCCACAGGTGGTTCCTCACTACCCTGCTGGATGCTCTTGTTGCCATCTTTTGCCCTGTGCTGTAAGATAAAGATCAAACAGTGAGTTCATGCCTTCATAATTTAACAGCCTTAGGCCCTGATCACACAGAAAGCGTTTTAGCAGCTGAAGGCGGCTTTTTGTAATTGTTTTAATGAGAATGAAGCTTTTCGCTCGCTGTTTTTGCGTTGCTATGCACCTCGTGTTTCTGCGCTCAAGGCGTGTGGCATTTTTGCCGGATCTCTCTGAGCTCTTCGAGTTGAAAAAACTTCAACTCGGAGCAGAAAATCACCCCACGTCATCTCTTTTTTCCCATTGTCCCATTGGATGATTTGAGAGGCGGGCCTTCTGCGGTGGTCACGACAACAAGTTTACAGTTGGTAAGCAATGAAGGAGAATCTGGTGGTAGCGGTTGCTGGATACCCAGAGCTATACAGCCTGACGATTGACAGCAGGTTGTCAAACTGCCTCCAAGTCATCCTAAAATATGCCCGTAAACGCCCATCATGGAAGCAAAGCTCCTGGACCAACTGGTGGTGCTTCCTGTGATCCAGCCTCTTTTTTATGGTCTCATGTACCCACACAGATCTCTGTTTATCTGCTGACAGCCCCTCACCCTCAACCGGAGCTACAGCAAGTACCCTCTGCCTCAACATTTTAGGAACTAGATACTAATTACTGTGGCATTCAATTTGAAGGAAAAAAAAAAAAAAAAAAAAAGGCAGTGCAACCTGCAAAACGCTGTCTTTGTGATCGGGGCCTTACGTTGGAACTAAGTGCTGTAAAACCAAATTTTGTTGAACAGTTTTACCACACAGTAAGTAAGAAGTATTGTAGGTCACCACGATAACATATAGGATGCTTATTGTTGAAAGAAACAGTCATTGTGTGCCTCAGTTTAAGTGTGTACTACCATTCTCTATTCCTCTGCACACCTGATCTCTCTGTGGTATCCAGTGTCTAATTTAAGTACTGTATGTTGAGATTCTATACATCTTTGATAGTTTAGTACTATAACGTTGCAGTTAAAGGTCCAGTGTGTAGGAGTCAGGGGCATCTGGTGGAAGCAAGGGTATATAATATTCATAATTATGTTTTCATTAGTTCATAATAGTAAGATTTTTTGTGTTTTTTGTTGCCTTAGAATGAGCCATTTATATATCTACACACAGAGCAGGTTTTCTTCCACAGAGTCCGCCATGTTGTTTTACAGTAGCCCAGAATGGACAAACCAAACGCTGGCTCTAGATAGCAACGTTCACATTTCTTTTTCTCCGACGTGTTTGTCACACTGAAGAAGATGCAGTTCTGTCACTTCACCACTAGATGCCACTAAATCCTGCACACTTGAACTTTAAAAGCAGTTACTGATTTATTTTAAAGTGCTTCGAAGTTCTACAAAAATAAAGAAATATTTTTAAAGTATTTTATAAGTTGCTGAGTAGGACATTGTTAAAGTCTCTGGGTCAACAGCCAAACTGTCTTTGAAAAGTATTTTTACTTCTCTGATGGAGCAGTGGGGGAAGAGGGAAACATCGAAAGATATTTATTCAACTAATGTCCTGTAGTTGTAAATGTGTATAAATTAAACAATCATACATTTTTCTGACTTGTGTGTCCTATTGTGTTCCTACTGAGCAAAAACATGTTATTTAATTAAATTATTGTATTGCATGTGGAGACAGTATATCACTCTGTAATGCAGATACCTGTAGGAAAGGGAAGGTGTCTTGAAGCATGTAGCAGCTCAAGTGAAGCTGAACTGACCCAATCATCAAGCTGCACGACTATCTGGTGTCTTCCTCTGGATCGGGTTGTGCAGAGTCACAGGTCTGATGATTAAACACTCCTCTAGTACTGAGCTGGCTGAGCTGGAGACCTCTGTCCAGCACAGCGGACGAAGCCGAGGAGGCCTGAAAGGAGAGGAAGTGATATTGGGCTTGTGCTGGTCATCAGCACTACTCATCCTCACGTCGTTACACCTTGATTAATGACACTTACCGGCACATCAGATGTTTTGTGAATGATCCAGTACCTCTGGAAACGATGTCTTTGTTAAGCCACGGACCTGTCCTCAACTAGAATCAAAGTTAGGCGAGGTGCAGGTGGATTGGTGAAGAGATTAGAGCAAAACTCAAACACGTTGTGACTAACTCAAAGTCAGAGTAAATGTTCCTTCTCATTAAGTGTAAATGCAAGATTTCAAATCTGATTAATTTACCGTGGCATTTGGAGTTTGTGGTTCCTTTGCCACCGTGCTGAGGCTGACAGTTTTCCTGCTTGCCTGAGTTGTCACGTTGGAGACAGAGGGCTTTGGTCTCTGCTGTAGGATTCTGTTATTTAACAGATATATGCACACACACGGTTATGGATGAATATCACAGTAAACATGGCACATGTATTTAAGCAGTCGGCATGATGAGAATAATCACAGGTTACCTTCCTGCAGGCATGTTTTTGTTATTGGCTGGTCTGTCCGCAGAGAAGGGGCCACATATGTTCACCACAGACACCTTGTCAAAGGAAAAGGAAGACGGTGACAGATTGTAATGTTCCCTTTTAAAGAATCCAACAACAGGAACAGGGTGCAGGAGGTAAATGTAGCATGGTTAATCAGTTTTTAATTCAACAGCCACAATACTCTGCAATTAATCAACTGTGCAATATTCTTAACACCTCTGAATGTATTTATTTATTCAACTTACAATGCACAGAACTGTACATACTTCTTATACCTATTTTTCTTGGCTTTATTCTATCAATGTATATATTGTAGTTACCATCATAGTGTAATACATATTTTATATTTCTGAATGTAACACTGGTTTACACAGTGTAATGTAGCACAATGCACATATTTGTATATTTTTACACACTTACAGACTCAGCACAGCGAAGAATATATTTTATTCTTAATATATTAAGTACTGGTGTTAACATTGTAAAGGTTTGAGATTTATATTTACATAAATCTATTTCAATGTCCTATTCTTACTTCTTTTAATTTTCTATTCTTTACATGGTACATCTAACGCCACGACTCTGCACACTCTGACACAGTAGGTGGCGGTTTGCACCTTTAAAGCGGGTTTGCGAATCACATTTAAAATCGAAGAAGAAGAAAAGCAGCCGCTCTGCTAACCACTTCCGGAATACTGACAGGATGAGATTGTAGCATACGCGCTCAACAAAATCTCATCTCAGGTAGGCGGAAAAACATTTTGAGATATTTATGGAGATTGTTAGACAGACCGTCAACGTATTAGTGTTCAGAAACACGCGTGTACACATGGAATATCTGGTTTTATTGTCGCGTCAAACCCGGAAGTACCGATAGTTTCATGCTAGCAGCACCGGTCAACAGTTAAATCTGTTCAGAAAAGATTGCTTCACCTGATCGCAACACATCACATATGATTCGAGTTAGAGTACATGTCTCTTTCAGCAAACTGTGTAGACTCAGGCTGTTAATGAAACAATTAATGTATTCATTACATTACAGATAGCCTGTTAGCATCCAAGCTAACATTTAAAATAAGCTCAGACAAATTAGCACAAACTAGTTCAAAGAGATGTCTGCCTTCCACCTGTCATTACACATTAAAATCTGTTTAGAAATGATATATATTGGAAGAAGGTCTGGATGACTAATCGTGAATGGGGCCAAACAGGTGTCTTTTATAATTATTTATAAGTATTACCCTGTCAGTTACTACAGGAAGGAATAATAATAAAAAAAAAACTTAAACACTAACTGCTCTACTTTAAAGACTTAACATTCTTATGGGACAGTGTGGTGTTTGGTTTCTTTAAAACCCCACGACAATAAGACATTTTTTGGTATAATAAATTCAATAATGCCAATGTTTTATTCATAAAAGTAAATTTAGCAATAAAAAAACCCCAACTTGTTTTGTTGTTTTCCCACAGGATGTTGATCAATATACAATAAAAAATGTGCATTTTCAGAATACATTTTATTCCTATGGTCCAAGAGAGTCCAAAAATATTAGTAAGCATGAACAACTCTCTCTCAAATCCAAAATCAAGAGCACTAAAACTCAAATTTGTGATATCATAGGGTGTAAAATCTGGAGCTGCTCCATAGAGAGTGAATTGGGAAAGATATTGTAGATGGTGCTGAGAGCACTCAGGGGAGTGTTCAGAGTATATGGGGACATTTTCTGTTTCACAACTGAGAACATTACATTTGAATAAAGCTCATTTGGGTATAAAAATGAAAACAAACATTATGTGCGTCCACAAAATCAGTCTCCTATTCATTGTGTATGGAGCAGCTCCATACCTTATATTCTATGACATCATAGTTTGAGACTTCCTCCTCTGGTTTCTGGCTTTGAGAGAGAGTAGCTCATGTTCACATATATTAATTGAACTTTCCTAGGCCATGAAAATAACATATTGGAATTCTTAATTTAGGTGGTGTTCCCCTTTAATATCTGTACATTTTCTAATATTTTGGTCAGTGTGATAAACCACTGTCTCTTCTGTTATTGTTCTTCTGCTTGTACAGCACTCTCTATAAAGCTAAGTGTTTAGTAAAATGATGGTTAACGCTGATGTTGAATTCTAACAGCTACTTTGAGTGACGGGTAAGTAAAATCCTCATCGACAAATCTGACTGTATTTGTGTTTTGTCAGGGTGATGGGGCCAGACAGTGCCCCAGGTCCAGCTGTGCCCTGGCGGAAGGTGCTGTGGGAGCGACAGCCATTCCCTGATAACTATGTAGACCAGCGGTTCTTGGAGGAATTACGGAGGAATGAGGGTATCCGGCAGTACCGCTACTGGGCTGTGGTGAGAGAAGCAGGCTTCGTCGGTGAGCAGCTGTCCTGTGTGGCCATTTTTATCTCAGTCTGGCTCTACATGGAGCAGGTAAAGCTTTAGAAAATATGTGAGCACACTGTGCTTTTAATGCATGAAATAGTGTACATGAAATGCATACTGAATCCACCTCTCTGCTGTCCTCACAGGGTCGGCTGTCCCCTGAGACGCTGATATGGACCAGCCTTGTCTGCGCCCTGTTGGGTTATGGACTGCACCAAGCCTTGACGTCTCAAGCGGAATCAGGCTGTGAGCCCCGGACTCGTCTGGCTGACTTACAGAGTGCCACTATTTTTCTTTCCTTCACCTTTGGCTTCTCACCAGTTTTAAAGACACTAACTGAGTCTGTGAGTACGGACACAGTGTACGCCATGTCTGCTATGATGCTGCTGGCCCACCTGGTGTCGTTCCCTTACGCCCAGCCCTCACCCCCAGGAAGCCTCTCCCTAAACGCAGCCCTGTTTGCCTCAGTGTGTTTAGCCTCAAGGTTACCTGGGGCTCTGCACACCTTCGCCATGCTCAGCTGTGCCCTGCTGATGTTTGCACTGTGGCCCTGCTTGCTGCAGAGGCTGAGGGAGAACGCACCCAGGCACTTTACTGGGGTGTGTGTGGGAGTGTGTATCGGAGGGGTGGGTGGTCTGGGGTCCCAGTGGCCAGGGGGAGCAGTGCTTTTAGCCCTGGCCTTAGGGAGTGTTACATTACTCTGCCCCCTGCTGCTAGTTAGACTGCAGAGGCACAAGGACAACATCCACGGGCCCTGGGACGAGGCTGAGATTCACGAGGACCTCAGCCACTTCATTCACTAGTGGACATTTAATGTGTAAGCCAAGGGAGAATTTTATATGAATTAATTTAATGTCAGTTTGCAGTGTTATGTTGGTGCTGTAGATCCAAACTGACAGACGTTAACTCTTTTATCACTGGTCCACATCTGCTTGGACAGCCACGACAACTTGTTATACTCTCACAGAGAACATGAAGATGTTTTTAATGATCAAGCTGCTATTGTCTTACAAGTGTTGACCTCAGAGTTTATATGGAAGGTATCAACTAACGTGATGCAGACGTGCATTACTGGACACATTCTGATGCTATGCACTAATTTGATATCAGTGATGTTTTAATAATCTGTGGGAGATGCTCCATGTTTTTATTGTTGTGTACAGTATGTTGTTGGTGTTGTGTGTGTGAATGGACGGATGCTTAGTCTCGAGCCAAGTGGCTTCAAACTGTAAATGTACAAATTATGATTTTAAAGGATTTTCCCAATACAAATGAGTTATTAAAAGATCATTTTTACCTGCTACTGTCCAAGTGTAATCAACGATGATTAAAAAATAGCCTCAAATGTATTGTCAGTTGTACGTGAGGCTGATTTCATTTTAATTTTTGACAAGCAAATCTGTGGCAGAGAAGTGTTTGAGTTGTGCTGGTCAGCAATTAAGTTTTAATTTAATTTAATTTTAATGTTGTGAACTCTCCTTTCCAATATTCTAGGATTACATGAGTAAATCTGGGAGAAGTCTAGTATAACCTCCTGTTGATCATCATACAGGGCAGAGAACATGCAGCTCTCTTTCTCATTTAGTTAAACAAAAGAAGAATACAGATTCAGTGCACTAATAGCACAGTAACAAAAGAGCAGAGGTAAATCACACTAGACAAATATGAGTCACATTTGAAAGTAGTTTCACACATTGTTCAACATCCTCCAGGAAAACAACAGAATACTGCTTTTTATTTCTAAATTTAAAAAAGAAAATGGCTAACATAGTTTCCTTGTAACCATGATGCATTCCCGGACACACCCTGGTCAGTGACGTCACCATGGCGTTGCCTATTGATGGAAAACACCTGTTGAAACTGTCACGTTGCCTAAAAACCTCACAGCAGCAGCTCTCTGCCCTTTTAAGACCAGTTATTTAACTTCTACGCCATGTTTAACCTCCTTGTGTCAGTGTGAAGAAGAATGGAACTGTTGTTGCTTTTGTTTATTTTCATTTTTTTGTTTTGTTTCAATATATTAAAGAAGAGCTAACTTTAAATGTCGGCGGATTATCTTAATTTTCTCCTTCACTTCTACAGAATAAAAACCTTTTGTTTGACTAGTTTTCATGTTCAGAAAACAGCATGGCAGCCAATTCATGACGTGAACACAAAATAAAGTGTGCAGCACCAGAGAGCCTGAACGCAGCACCGCACGCAGCGTGTGATGGACGCTAGGTGTCATACCTTCACCTCTTCTTTCCCCGGCTTGCTGCGAGACGTGACGGCGGGCTTTGCAGTTGGTGTTGGCTGCTGTGGTGGCGCCATTTAGCAGCAGATGACTCTAACACAGTTCAGTCGAGCTGCCTGTGACTGTGCGGCCTCGTTTCTCCTCACAGAACCGCACTTCCACGAAACAAGGAGGGTGCGTCATAGTAACAGCACGTCACACACTGCACGGTTGTCAATGGTTGTTTTTTTCCCCTGTCTGTTTGGATTGTGTTTTATTTCCGTGGAGACACAACCAGTACTGGCTCACCAGGGGCCCCCAAACATTTATGTTGGGGAGCCCTAAAAAGACCCAGATATAATGAGTTTTTGGAGACTAAACAAAAAAATATATTTGGTATCTACAGTTGGAGCAGAAATGATGTTAAGATTTTTAACTTGAAAATGCATTTCCTGCATTAAATGTATGTGCATGCTAACAGCTTCACTTCCAAAGCACTGCTGAAAACAGGATTCTGGAAGCACAAATGCACTGCACTGCTGAAAAACCTAAAAACTGAAGTGCAAAACTAGCAGAGTTGGACGCTGAATTGCATGACCTGAAGAAGCTACAGGCTGAAATACATTGTAATGTTGTTTAAAAGTGGAATTTGAGATTAATTACCTGAAAGAGAAAAATGCTTTTTACTTTAAAAAGCATAGAAGGTGGGAAAAGTGTTGAATACAAGCAGAAATGATCATAAATAGCATAACGTTTTCACATTTAAATGTTTTTTTTTTTAAGTGTGCAAAAGTAGTAGTTGACTGAAAAATATACAAAGAAGTATAATTCCTTGGTGTCCTGGTTAAGGCTTAAATAAAGTCTAGAAAAAAGTATGCAAAAGTGGAGTAGGTTAGAAAAGATTTTGAAGGTTTGTTTTTTTTACCATTCACTGCAAATATTATAAGAGCTGAAAGACATCGCACAAACAGCTGGAAGTTAAACTGTAATACTGTCAGAGCCGGAGGTTGAGATGAATTGTCTAAAAGAGCTGAAAGAAGAAAAGCTTTGTATTAAAAACACTGCATTTTTAAGAAATAGTGAAGTACAAATTGCAGAAAAAAAATGTAGTAAAACACAGAATCGTCACAGAAATGCCTCAAAGAGTGGAACAGTTTAATATTTAAAAGGTTTCTGTAGTTAGAAGTATGCAGAAATATCATGTCAGGAATGTCGTAGACCAAAAAACATACAAAAGTAAAATAATAAAGATTTGAAAAACAATACTGTGAATGTTGTATCTGCACTCACATAATATGACTCAACTGAAAATGAGTTATCATTTTGCTGGGGACCCGTGCAACATCCCCTTGGTCTCCTGTTTTTCCTTGGACACCACTGCTGTTGGCTAAAGCAAGTAAAGGGTTTTTTTTCCCCAGGCTAGGTGGAAATGCTATGGAGAAACTAAAATTAGTAATAAATAGATTAAATTGACAGCTGCCATAGAAAACAACTTCTTTAATCTCAAACATTTAAATAATGAGAAACCAGGATACATGTTCAAAAATAAACCTGTTTATTTAAAAACAGTGAAAATAGTGTGTGTGTATTCTCTTTTAGAAGAACAGTTCAAAATTGGGATTTCTATTTACACAAAGTTCAGGCACTTGAAGAAAGTCCGCAGACGGTCGAGCACATTCCGGCATTTATGGCCGGTGATAATATGTACAAAACAGGCTCAAGCCTCAGTGAATTTTGCAGACAGCAGCTCCCGGAGGAGACAGAGAGAAGCCCAGCATCGTGCTTCAGCTGGATTACACATCACACAGGTCATGAGTGTCTCTGGGCAGCAGTGAGCTGCAGCTGGAGGGATTACTGGGGTGGATGGGTAATGGAGTTCTGAGGACAGAGGACTGTTATTTCACGTTTGGGATAGCTGGAGGTTGTCTCCTGGAGAGAAGATCAGATCAAAGATATTACTGTAAGGCTCAATATGGTAACAATATTAACAGGACACCACCTTAGAGCTCTAATAAAGACTGTAAACTACTGTCTAACTATGTCGATCACATGCAGAGACTCGTGACTCATAGAGTGCTTTGCTGTTCAGCTGGGACTGAAAATTAGGTTTTCAATATCTGCCTTTCATTTGCATGGTTTTAAGAAGAAAATGATAACGTTAATCAGAAGGTGCAGTCTTTAATTGTAGCTTTATAAACTGCAGAGCTAACAATTCAATTTTAGAAATAATGTCTGATCCCTAATCATCATAATTTATAAGTGTACTGTCGCGCTTCTGTGGGTTATAAAACCAGTAAAGAATTAGAGTTGTAAAAGAAATAAAAATCTTTCAGGTCCATTTCTGTGGCTGCTTCAGGTGAGTTTTAATCGCCGCACAGTGAGGACCTAAGTTCATAACAAAGCTGTAGACTTCTCAATGAAGATCGACACACAAGAGCGAAGATTTATCCTATTACATCAAGACGAGACTAAAACACCTGGATGTGGGCGGGGTGAATCAAAAGGTCTAACAAAGGTATAACAGAACTCAGGATCCAAGACAGGCTAATTAATGACAGAACCTGATTCAATCTGCCCTGGTCCCTTCAACAAATCTGCTATTGTTACGTCTCTGTCTGCATGTAAGCTCAAGAAAGCTTTTTAAAGACTACATCCTGCATGAGTATCTCAAAGACGTTACACACAGGGATCTGTTAAAACTATAGTTGGTAACTTTGTTTAAAAAAAGTTTACTGAAACTGTTACTACACTCACAGAGCACATCTGTGAAGGCATCATATTCACTCTGTTGCCTCGTCGCCATACACTGCATATAATAATGAACATAGCTACCATCATGTCACCCATTGTTTTGTGGACGGCTGTTTGAGCCCAGAGTTCAGCATTTCAGCTGTTGCCATCTTGGTTTTTTGAGCCAGAAGTGACCATATTTGGACAAGAGGGCGGAGCTTTAGAGGAGTGAGGGGAGGATCTGACTCAGAATGCAGCGACGCCTCGCAGACAGCCTGTCACTCAAGCGACCACGCCCTTCCATAATGCATAAGCCTTAATAAAAGGTAAATGGGTCAGTTATATAAAAAATGCCCCCTGTACAGTCATTAATGTTGAAATTAGCTTTAGAGACCAAAACAGTTTTTAACACCAGGCTGTAAACATGTTTTTTCTGCTGTAAAACTGGTCATTAAAACATGGAGGTCTTTGGGGATTTACTCTGTTTTGGAACCAGCTTAAAGTGGTCATTTGATGAACTTCGTTTTTGGCACTTCCGCACTGGCTTCATTTTTCAGCTTCAGAGGTTGCCATTTCCTCCCTGTCAACTTTTGTTTTGGCAGATTCAGCATGTTGAATCGGTAAACCTTTTTAAATAGGAATTGTGCAAATTTGCAGGAAAGCCCAATCAGTCTTTTTTCAGCATTGGCAGTATAATTCACATTTTAGTTGTTTTTCCAGCACCTTAACTAACACTTGGCCAGGTTGAGCGGTGGTCCTCCCTCAGCATTGGCAGTATAAAAACAAAATTGGGGAGTGCAGCAAAATGCCACCTACCTACTTTTGTTTATACAGAATGCGCCTTTTTCGGGGCAATGGGGGGCATGAGCAAGTAAAAAAACGTGTAGCTCAGCGTGTGACGTAAACAGTGACGTGGGAGGGAAGCCGTGGCTGGTCAGTCCTTCGGCAATTCTCTCATAAGTCGGCGTGTTCTTCACCGTCCCCGTCATCTGACGGTTAATGGCCTCTTCGTTTGCGAGGGCAAGGAGGGCGCGCAATTCCTTGTCTCCCCAGTTGCTCATCTTTACAGTGTCTGTCAGGTTTGTGTTTCCCTCTTGCTACTAGCTGCTCGCTAATTCCTGCTATCAGCTGTTTCCTGTTTATCCACCACCAGTGGGTCGCACATGCGGTGTCATCAACAGCCCCTCCCACAAGTCATCAACAGCCCCTCCCGTTGCGGAAGGCCACCTCGTTCTGTTTAAACCAAAAAGGTTCCACCAATATGTCTACCCTATGAGGCAGAAAATTGGGCACCTCGGATCAACTCGCCAATCCAACTGTGTGTGTCTAAACGCTCGCAGCTTGCCAGCAAAAC